GATGAAAAAAATATATCTCTAAACTAAGACTATATCTGACTTTTATCATAGTCCCAATGGAGGTGCGGACCGTGGTGCTGGTCCCTCTCTACAAGAAGGGCAACTGACCTGGAGGGTGTGTTCCCATTATCGTGGGATCACATTCCTCAGCCTCCTGGATTAGGTCTACTCCAAGGTACTGGAGAGGAGACTTCGACCGATGGTCGAATCTCAAATTCAGGAGGAGCAGTGTGCTTTTTGTCCTGGCCGCAGAACACTGGACCAGCTCTATACACTACTTTGGATACTCGAGGGATCATGGGAGTTTGCCCAACCTGTCCAGATGTGCTTTGTGGATTTGGAGGTGTTTGACCGTGTTCCTCGGGGTGTCCTTTGGGGGATTCTCCGGGTCCTCTGCGGATGGCCACTCAGTCCGGGTATGTCTGGAACAGAGCTGCGTTTGCATCACTGTTCACTGTCTTTATGGACAGAATTTCTAGGCGCAGCCAGGGGCTGGAGCGGGTTCGGTTCGGAGACCACAGGATTTCATTTCTGCTGTTTGCGAACAATGTTGTGATGTCCTGTTGGCTCCAACGAGCCAAGACCTGCAACATGCACTAGGCAAGGCAAGGCAAGTTTATTTGTATAGCACAATTCATACACAAGGCAATTCAAAGTGCTGAACAAAACAAGAAAGCATTAAAATCATAAATAATCACAGTACATTAAAAAGAAAGATAAAAATATAAAATCCCTCAGATGTATGCACAGCTAAACAGAACCGTTTTTAACCTGGTTTTAAACATTGTCAGAGAGGAGGCCTGTCTCACATCTTCAGGAAGATTGTTCCAGATTTTAGCAGAATGAATCTGAAAAGCAGCCTCCCCATGTTTAGTTCTGACTCTGGGCACTAACAGGAGTCCAATCCCTGTGTCCGGGCTGGTTCATATGGGACTAACATGTCACTAATATATTTTGGTGCGAGGCCATGGAGAGACTTGTACATAAGCAGAGCTGTTTTTATTCTCTGAGCCACAGGAAGCCAGTGCAGAGACCTGAGAACTGGACTAATGTGGTTGTACTTCCTGGTTCTAGTCAGGACTCGAGCTGCTGCATTTTGAATGTACTGCAGCTGTGTTACAGCCTGTTTGGAGAGACCTGTGAGCAGGCCATTGCAATAGTCTAACCTACTGGAGACAAATGCATGGATAAGAATCTCCAAGTCTGCTTTTGACCCTATGTTTTTGATCCTGGCAATGTTTTTTAGATAGTAAAAAGCTGCTGATGTTACTGATTTGATGTGGCTGTTAAAATTTAAGTCTGAGTCCAGTATTACCCCTAGATTTCTTACCTTGTTTGAAGGTTTTAGGGAGAGAGACTGGAGGTGACAGATGACGCTCTCTCTTTGTTTCTGGGGACCATAAACAATCATTTCAGTTTTGTCTGCGTTTAGCTGAAGGAAGTTGTTTTGCATCCACTCACTGATCTGTTGGATACAGTGAAGGAGTGAGTCCACTGGTCCATGTTCTCCTGCAGTCAGTGAGACATAGATCTGAGTGTCGTCTGCATAGTTGTGATAGGACACTTTGTTTCTACGTATTAACTGACCTAACGGCAGCATGTAGAGATTGAACAGAAGAGGTCCCAGGATCGACCCCTGTGGTACTCCACAGGTCAGGGCCATATGATCTGAGGCACAGTTTCCAATCTCCACAAAGTACTTCCTGTCTTCAAGGTAACACCTAACCTTAGGGCGGTGCCAGCAACGCCAACCCAGTCCTCTAGTCTCTGAAAGAGGATCTCATGGTCGACGGTGTCAAAGGCAGCACTCAGATCTAACAAGATTAAGATTGAACACTGGCCTGTGTCAGTGTTCACCCGGATATCGTTTCTAACCTTGACGAGAGCAGTCTCAGTGCTGTGGTGGGGTCTAAAGCCAGACTGAAACATATCAAATGAGTTGTTGATTATAAGAAATCTAGTAAGCTGTAGGTAGAAAACTTTCTCAAGGACTTTCCCCATAAATGGCAGATTTGAGATGGGACGATAGTTGTTAAGTACCGTAGCATCCAGACTGCTCTTTTTTAGAAGGGGCCTGATGACTGCTGTTTTCAGGGCCTTTGGGAATATTCCAGAATGAAGGGACATGTTTACTATCTGTGTGAGTGAAGGTAACAGACTGCTCAGAACAGACTTCAGAAATCTAGTTGGTAGTACATCCAGGCAGCATGTGGAGGAGCTCAGACTGGAGGTTATCTCTTGGACAGTTTTATCATCTACAGGTGCAAAGTGAGTTAGCTCAAAGAGCCTTTCTGGCTGTTGGATTGTTATCTGTGGATTGGAGGCAATGGTGTTTTTGATGCCTTGAACCTTGTCATTGAAAAAAATGTGCAAACTCATTGCATTTACGTTTGGAAGTAAGCTCTAATGGCATCTGAACAGGGGGGTTTGTTAATCTATTAACTGTTGAAAACAGAACACGCAGATTGTTGCTGCAGCCTTCAATCATTTCAGAAAAATACCTTTCTCTCGTACTACGTAGCACCCGGTTAAACTCGCACAACTTATCTTTGAAGATCTCGTAATCAACCTGGAGGTTGGACTTGCGCCACTTCCGCTCGGCCCTCCGGCACTTTCTCTTCAGTGCTCTGACCGAGTCTGCTTTAGCCCACAACGCCTTCTGCTTATTTTTCACTATTTTAACCTTCACAGGGGCAACGGTATCCAGAACATTCAAAACACTAGAGGTGACAGAGTTAAACAGTTAATCTACTGTAGAATACGATGCATTTTCAAAGTTTCCCATAAATAGTTCCCTCGTATTTTCATTAATGTGTCGGTAAATTGAGAGCTTTGCCTTTCGGCTTCACCTCAACTGTCCAATGCAACAACCGAATCACTATGCACGCTGCACTGATCTGCCTGGCACTAGGACGGTTTTCAGCCAAGTGGGAAGTGGTTGGGATGGGAATGAGCAACTTCAAATTGGAGGCCATGGTGCTCTATCCGGAAAAAGGTGCATTGCCCTCTCCAGGTGGGTGGAGAGGTCCTTCCTCAAGTAGAGGCGTTCAAGTATCTCAGGGTCTTGTTAATGATTAAGGGAAGGATGGAGCATGAGAATGATGGGCGGATCGGGGCAGCGTGCATAGTGATTTGGTTGTTGCATTGGACCGTTGAGGTGAAGCCGAAATGCGAAGCTCTCAATTTACCGGTCAATCTTTGTCCCCTCCCTCAACTGTGGTCATGAGCTTTGGGTAATGACCAACTAGATGAGATTGCGGAAACAAGCAGCTGAAATGAGCTTCTTTCGCAGAGTGACAGATCCAGGACACGCTGGAGGGACTCTGTCTCCCAGCTGGCCTGGGAACGCCTCCGGGATCCCCCCGTATGAGCTGGTGGAAGCGTGTGTGGATAGGGAAGTCTGGGCGTCTCTGCTTAGACTGCTGCCCCAGCGTCCCAGCAATTATATCTATTTGGTTTATGCCTAATACTGTATATTGAGTCCCAACTAAAATCACATCAACCAACATGATTAAATGTTATTGTATAATGTATCATCTGCTTACTACCATTAGAATGTCACTTACTGTATGTCAAACGCACGTGACATAAGTATAATGTCTGTGAAACGTTGCTCGAACCAAGCTGTAGAGTAGATAACCAAGGGGTTATCACCCAGGCATGTTGGATTCAGTTTCCTTCCTCAATGCAGTTAATCTTCTCAGCACACCAGTGACGGAAAGTGGAGAATTAACTAATTCTGTCTCGATGGGTTTCTATAGGAAAACAGTTTGAGTAATTGATATTCTCTCACTCCTGAAATTCTGTCTCTCCCCTACCACCATCGTGACATGCCTCGCTGTTTTCTGAATCTTTGATAAGCAGATGATTAGACACTTTCACTGGGTTGTTAGCAAAAGCATGTTATGTCTTATTTACTTCTGAACATAGTAATACTGTTTTGTTGATTTGAATGTGCTTTTTCCCCCATTACGTTTCACTTCAGTACAGTTTTCAGGGTTATATAGTTAACAAGAGCAGAGAAAATGGCACAAGCTAAGCAGACCAAGCATAAATCCCCTGGAAGATAGCAAATTTTTTGAAAAAAAAAATAATACATTTAAAAAAATCGCTGGCATGTTAGTACAGCAGTCACGGTTTTAAACTCCACCAGATCGGAGCAAATGGTCCGAACCAAGCAGACGCTACCTAAATACACATGAGAAAAAACTTTTTAAAAACTAACTAAAAACTAAAGTAAACAGATCGTCACCCGGTACACTGCAGGAGCGCCCTCGTCACCAGTGGATTAGCCTCACTAGTAAAGAAGAAGACTCACTGCTAAAGGTACAGAGGCTCTGAGGGAGAGCCACCACTACAATCAGCCCACCTTAAGACCAACCCTTCCACAGCTCCACTGTCATGGTTTAAGTTTATTTCCTGTTTTATTTTGAAATGTGTTATTGCTGTGTCTTCTTTGGTTGTACTTCCTGTTGTCTGATTACCTGCCCTGCCCTCATCTGTCTCACCTGTGTCTCGTTAGTCTTGTATTTAGCCCTGTGTGTTCCTTCACTCCCTGTTCCGTCATTGTCTTTCCTAGTCTGTTTTAGTTCTGTCCGTTCCCTGTGTTTTTGGTAGGTCTTGATTTGTATTACTTTCATTAAATCCATCATTTTGCAGTTTTTGCCTTTTGGGCCTCATTTGTTTTTCACCCACGTGACAGAATGACGGAACCACTCAAGGCCCAAGCAGACTGCTTTATTTTTGTTTTTTATTTTTTGTCATCTCTGGCCCATCTTTGTCCCCGACTGGTCTTGACAGTTGCTGCAGGAGCTGGACGCATTCCCTGTCTGTCTGTCTGTGTCCTGGACCACTGCAGGACACTTAGCTCCGTCCTGGGTGGTTGCAGGCTTCCGTTCCTGACCTGGCTCCGCTGGATATTGTTCTCCATCCAGGGGGCCTTCTGTACCCGTTTGGTTCCAGTCCTGGCTCCAGTTCCTGCTCCAGCTCTTCCGCTCCAGCTCTTCGGCTACACGCCCCGGCTCCACACCCCGGCCCCGGCTCCACGTCCCGGCCCCGGCTCCACGTCCCGGCCCCGGCTTCACGTCCCGGCCCCGGCTTCACGTCCCGGCCCCGGCTTCACGTCCCGGCCCCGGCTTTACGTCCCGGCCCCGGCTTCACGTGCCGGTTACACCCCCCCGGTCCTTCCTACGGTCCCCCTCCTCCCTCCCTGGTTTTGTTTTTGGGACGTCTGGGATCCGTCCCTTGAGGAGAGGGTACTGTCATGGTTTAAGTTTATTTCCTGTTTTATTTTGAAATGTGTTATTCCTGTTTCTTCTTTGGTTGTACTTCCTGTTGTCTGATTACCTGCCCTGCCCTCATCTGTCTCACCTGTGTCTCGTTAGTCTTGTATTTAGCCCTGTGTGTTCCTTCACTCCCTGTTCCGTCATTGTCTTTCCTAGTCTGTTTTAGTTCTGTCCGTTCCCTGTGTTTTTGGTAGGTTTTGATTTGTATTACTTTCATTAAATCCATCATTTTGCAGTTTTTGCCTTTTGGGCCTCATTTGTTTTTCACCTACGTGACATCCACCTCTATCTGGTTGGTCTGTTTAAGAACTCCTGTGGCCCAAGATGTCAAGAGGCTGACCATCATGCCCAAGGACATCCAGCTGGTATGAAGCATCAGCTGACAGAAGACCTCATCTATTCTCACATGTAAACCCATGTCTTATACCCACATGTGGAGTGCCATATCCTTGCAAACATGATTTCAAAGTCTCTTTTGTTTTTCCCTGATTCCCCTGAATCCCCTAATCTCTCTGATTCCCCAGTCCGCTGCTTGTTAACAGGACGCAGCAGCAGGATGAGCCATTGTTGAACATTCCAAATCGATCCCTCCCTCCTTAGCCCCATGATGCCTCTCCACTGTCCTCATCAGAAGCTATAGCCCCGCCTCTACCTCTACATTGCTGATAAGATTCTCCCACTGACATGAAAACATGGTTGGCCTCTCTGGCACCGAGCAAGCGCCCAGAAATGGAGACAAATGATCAGTCCATGACAATTTCCATAATGGTTTTACCTTCCGTGATTCATCAAGGTAATGATAGGTGCGTCCCTAATGTGCCCCCCCCCCCTCAAATGGCTTCTACATGTGCAGAGATTGATTACTACTGGAGGAGTGCTGCATTATTTCACCAAAAATAACAATGGGGCGATCTAACTCGGCACCGGGCAAACAGAAGGCCATCACAGTTCAGTGTGCCCAACACACGATCATCAGTGCAGTCTTACTCTGCTCTCCTTACACACTTTTCCCCAGTCACAATTATTGGTCATTATTGGCACATGACGGAGCTTTGAACGGGCCGATGCGATGACATTAGGCCATGGCACATAGGAGATACGACATCGAGCACAGAGACGATTGTCTGTGTGTGATAGTCATGTTATTCAATCAATTCTGTTTGAATCAGAATTGTATTTATTTGTTGACAATGAGAAACACGTTTGTTTCAGACATGCCACTGTCTTCTTCTATCTTGTCTTCAGTTGCAATATAAAGACCCTTGTATTAGTATCATGTCTTTCCTTCAATGCACAGTTTACAAAGCGCAGGAGAGCATTTATGCGAGACGCAATCAGGGGTCTCAACCTTGTTCTGGGCTTTACAGTATGTCCCATTTCGTTTTGTTGCCTTTCATTTATTTTTTCCCCAGTGATGCTGCAATGACCCAAACAACCACCAGGTGGCACTTGTGAGCAGGGTTAGGAAAATTGGCTTCTCATCGGTCTTTGTTCTCTGTTCACCAGACAACTTTCTGTGACGTTATAGCTCAATGATAAAGAGGTGGACTCTGGTGTGAGAGGACTCGGGTTCAAGTACAGTCTTTGATTTTGTTGACGTTTACATTTTTTCTACTTACATACTTAGTAATTAGGCCAACACATTTAAAATAGTTGCTAGACTGTAGTAAACTTCACAATCTGCACCAACCAAACTGCAGGAAAAAAATTCAACTTTATTCAGTAACGGAGTAATCTGATTCATATACTCCCCCCGCTAATAAAAACTGAGGATTGGCCGGGGCTCGAACCCCGATCGCCCAAGCGAAAGTTTAGGACAATCCTGCTACACCACACAGGCGCTGGAGAAAACCCAGGATCTAATACGAAAGACGGCTGAGTGAATGAGCCGTGCGTATGTGCGGGACGCTTAAAATGCCTTATATGCAAGTTAATGCAAATGTTTGCCATATGATCTGCTACTCCTGTGCATTTTAGAATTCCTAATTAATGGTAGCTATATGTAACATGTGTAGTTTAAATTTTTGTAAAGCCTATATATTGCTAATCAAAGTAAAAGTATTCAGAATACAGTGTACACTCGTGTACATAACATCATAACTCAATACTTCAAAAACTCATAAACTTGGTACATGTTCATAGTCATGAAAAAAAAGACAAAATCCAAACTTTTGGTCTGTACTGTACATACATATATCCTTTGATGAGCACTTACACTTTCAACATGTCTTTTGTCCTATTGGATTTATTTAATTGATTTTGACATGACAAGCTATAATCAATCATGATGAAATATTTCTCTGTGTGCGTGTGTGTGTGTGTGTGTGTGTGTGTGTGTGTGTGTGTGTGTGTAAACAGTTTGAGCATTTACAAAATCCGGGTCTACAGTGTGCTGACCTGATCCATGCTGCAGACTGACTGAAAGGAGTTGTGCAGCATGGATCAAGTTGTGCACCCCCTCAACCCTGATTAGCATTTGTATAGCTCACAGCATTGTCATTTACATGTTAAAGCCTCCTGTGGAGAAGGGAGGAGGGGACAACAAACTACCGTCAACAGCCGAATCCCAGAAGTTTTACAGTAATATACAGGGCCGAAAAGAGACAAAAATCACACTTTTCATGCAGTGATTGTTCTCAAATAAAAGATGACTTAAAGGAACAATATGTAAAAATCTGGCCAAAAGTGGTACTGCAGTCACAGTCAATATTTTGTAGTCCTCTCCCACTGACTCAGGTTGCCAGATTCACACCAAATCCAGCAGCAAACACAGGGAATTATTTTATCAGTTGTTTGTCCGTCTCCATTCACATTGCCATGACAGCCGTGCTAATGCTGAATGAATGTTTTGATTATCCATCCATCCATCCATCCATTTTCTACCCTTTAATCCATTTCTGGGTCAGGGGGGTGGCAATCAGAGATGCCACCCAAGTCTCATAGCACCAGCCCCTCACTGACCCTCTGCAGGTGGTGAGTCCACAGGAGGACGGCTGCTCTCTGACTGTGAGCATAGCCTTGATCTTTCAGTGGGGGCTTTGGGCAAAGTGGGGTTAAGTGTCTTGCCCAAGGACACAACGACAGCAGTCATCAGTGGGAGTCGGTGGAGAAGGTGCAGAGGTGGGAATTGAATGCTCTTCCAACTGAGCTACTGTCGCCCCATGTTTTGATTAATGTTTTTTTATTATTATTATTATTATTTGGACATTTGAGATAAAAAACAAAAACAGAATAAAAGCAATGTAATTATACATAGTTTATGCAAAATAAATAAGCAATTGATGTCCAAAATAGGAGTGGGAAGAATGGATGTTGGAACGTATTTCTTCAGCGTATCAACATCAGGGTTTGCTCAAGAGGATATCACCTTTCAATTTTATTTATTCCCTATTTTTTAGACAAACATGTAAAAGTTCCACATCAAAAAGAGACTAACATTATTTTAATTGGGGTACATGTGGTCTTAAATGATTATTTTTACAATTAAGCTATAATCTGCAAAAAAACGTCTTGACCTTCATCTTTTACTGTTTTTAGAGCAATCTGTCATAGAATGTGATAACATGCAATAAATACAAAAAGACATAGCCCAGGATCGAACCCGGGTTCCTGCATCGTAAGCATACAGTTTAGACCACTAGACCACCGATTCACACGAGTAGAAATGCTGTGAAGAACAGACTCAAACTAGAAAATTCTGCATCACACGTGAACTTTTATCAGCTGTCTCAATTGTTCAAAGGCATCCCGATATAAATCCTCGTTTTAGTCTTTGTTTTGTCATTAATGATTTGAGAGTCATAACAAGATCTTTTTTAGCTCTTTTTCAGTCTTTAAGTCGAGCCGAGCGTTTAAGTCGCTGGCAGAGCTAAAGCGGACTTAACCTGCCACCTAGTGGCGATAGGATGTAATATATTTCACGCAGCTGCGTGATTCATGAAAAGCGTGAATGAAGACGACACAAAACGAAATGGGACCTACTGTATTTTACGTATTTGGAAAATTACACTTCTATGATTGTCATTTGTTATAGTAGTAGTAGTAGTAGCGGTAGTAATATTTTATGTTTTTCAAAAAATTCAGCAGTCAAATTCAGCCTGAGAAACACCCATCGTTGTCATATATTTGACTTTGGGGATGTTTTGATTACAATTTTATGTAAACTCTTTATTGCAATGTTGGACATTGTCAACATAGCCTCCAGCACTTCTTCTGCCTCCAGCAAATATTTTTTGAAGATGCCTTTGAACTGTCAATTTTTTTTTGAATGGCAGTATGGTCGCGGAGAGCCCAGTGCAAATGTAAAAATAAAATAATACAACCAAAAAGGCCCATGAGAAAATAAACATTCACATTCAGCCCATTCAGCTCAATCTGAATCATTTAATGCTCAGAAAACTCTGAATAAACTGTCCCCGTTACTAAAAAGATTGGACACCGCCTGCCATCATTCTTATGTCACTTGCAATATCCGAGCTCCGCTGCCATCGCACACTTCAATAAAAGGTTATTCAAAATTGTCAAAGTATCTGGTTTAATGGGACCGTGTGGGTGCATTTGGAAGTAGAACCATGCGCTTCATTATCACATTGCAAGTGTGAGGTCCATGAAATTAAAACTAATACAATCAACAGTGCATCCCGCACAACTGCACTGTGGAAATGAACGAGCACAGCAATTGGGAGTAGAATACACACATAGCAAAAGGACAAGCTCCAGCATTTGTTTAAGAACTGTGATAAAGTTACAGGTTATACTAAGGAAGGTGAGTCTTTTACTTAGTTTAAAGCACTAAAATAATCACTAATTTAAATGGAGTAAAAACCCAAACTGAGCGAACAATTAACGAAACTACTTCACCTAAAGAGGGACAACACCAGAACAGTTGGGTAAATGGTGTATAGTAACTTTTTTGTAACTACAATTTCCCTGATAGATTATTAACATTGTATTTATCTATCAAATAGAAAATACGTTTACATATACATACTGAGGGGCTGATTGCTGAGTAGAGGGCTGGTAGGTACTGATCTAAAATTGTGACGATTATAAAAAAGAAAAGGGTAATATTCTTCTCTAAAAATAAAATGACTATCGGACAAGATGTGACAGAGGCCAAAATTACATGTGTGTGAATACTAGTGATAGAACAAGGGAACTTTGTTAGATTGAAAGGTAGAATTTAACTGTTGCGGTGAAGTTAGGTCTTCAACGCCTTGAAAGAAGAGCTATTAATAGAGTTTAATAATATTGGGCTCCAAAAAGTATATATAATATTGTCAACATATGTTTCAGAAAATACGGTGAACCAAGTAAGAATGCCCCCTCCCAAAAATAAAAATATCTTGGTAGACTTTGGATAATTTATTATTTTTGTCAAAATGATAAAAATACAAAACTACAACAAACACCGCCATGTCGTTGTAAAGAAGCAATCACTTCACCGTCAGATTTTGCATAAACCTAATTCCTGCATAAACCTACTTCTTGAGCTTTAAGGCAGGAAACGCATTGGGTGTGGATGTCATTGTACACTATACTCAGTGGTAACTACATTTAAAAGCATAATAAACTTTTAAAAGTCTGAGACAGGAGCTTCAGATAGTAGGGCGGAGTTAAACTGTACGTTGTGTTTGTAGTTCCTGATATTAGCGTGTTAGACAATACAGTGTATAATTGTTCTATACAAATAAACTTTCCTTGCCTTACTATTGCCTTACAGAGTCCGCGGTCTATTATTGATGAATACAATGCTGTAACTGGTTAAGCGTTAACTAATAGACAAAGCAGACGTGACAAGTACCTTGTTTTGTGGCCAGTATGTGGCCTGCTGTCCCTGCGATCAGGCCCACCGAGGAGCTGCTCCCCGCGGGAGTAGTGGCATCAAAAGTGACGCAAAGGGACAGCCCCGGGACGTCCGGTGACGGATCTCTCCGGAGAATCCCCTTTGTCCCTTCCCATAAGGCCCTGATCACACCGTAAAATCAACACCATGAGATTAATTATTTGCACAGCTATTACGGCACAAAAGTGTCCTGTCAAAAAACACACCTGGGGTTTAATGAAATCCCATTCAAGATTTACTGGCGTAATGAATATTCACCAGGAATTAACCCAGAGCTCTGTGAAGGTTTCACGGGACGGGGGGGGCGGGGGGGGGTGGCGGGGGGTCGCGGTGGGGGGGCGGAAAGGAAACAAGGCAGACAGGGACACGCAGAAAGCAGTTCTTGTGGTTTGAATGAGATCTACAGCTATAGCTAATCCTTTAAAAGAGTCTTGACCACGTCATGCTGATTTTATTGTATTAGGAAAACATCATTTCTTACCTTCAGACAGCTGAGTACGGGTGGTCCTTCTCGTCTCGCTGAGCTGATCATGTGCACATGCGTTAGCCTAGTAGGCTGCAGCCAATATATCAAAAAAAAATTGTTATCGATGTTGGTGCGTGCAATATCCATATCAAAAATAGCCGCATCAAATATATATATATATATATACAGACAACAAAACAGAAACAACAACATCCAATAAAACAACAAACAAACAAACAAAAGTGTATGACTACATGCATTTAATGTCATAAATGTTTAAGCTTATTTTGTCATTGTCTCTTGGCGTTTAAAATGGCAGATGCAATTTTAAGTGAAAGACAACGAATATTGGGCATAATATCGTTTATTCGAAATACTAAACACTCATATCGAATGTCGCACTAAGATCCAATATTGTGCAGCCTAAAGCCGATTGTATAGTCGCACGGCCCGGAGCTACAGTGGTGACGTGACATCACTTTCGCACAGCCTGCGCCACACGCAACTATTTTCAGACTACCCAGCCCGCCGCAGCAGAGAAGCTCTGCTGTGATTGGTCCGTGTGTGTTTTATAGACGGAAGCATGGAGGCAGCTGCAAGGAATATGGACAAGGCACTTCAAGCAGAAATCTTCATGCTTGGGTTTGGTTCATGGCTCAGAGCCGATATACACGGAGGCTGTGGACTGTCCCCAGTTCTGTTGCATATCTAACTTATAAACTGTACGAAAGTAAGCTTGAATTATATACCGCCTTTCCCAGAACCAAAGCAGTTTACAATTGGTTTATTTTTTGGGCACTTTCCTTCTCATTCACACAGAGATGGAGCGGGGGTGCCGAACAGGATGCGCATGCCAGACCTATTGAAACTATTTTTAGTGGTAGGAGAAACCGGATTCCCGAGGAAACCTACGCAGACACTCAAAAGGCCGGGATTCGAACCCAGGACCTTCTGCTGAGAGGCGAGCGGCCTATCCCTCACCACCGTCCGGTAAGTCGTATTACTTTTAACACTGTTCCTGGCGCCTGTCTTTGGTTTGAATCTCACTCGGTAGCTTGTCGCGTCTTTTGCATTCCTCCATGTACTTGTAAAATAGTTCATGTTTGGACACAGATTTCAAACCACGTGAAGTGTTTTTGCTGTTATGCGCTGATTACAATTAAATAATGTTAGTTTCCAACATTAAATGTGTCATGTTACACAGCACACAGTTGACAATTATTCATGAAGTCCATAGAACTATCACATAAACAGAACACTAGAAACACTTGTAATGACTCAAACAGCTGTTTGCAAAATTTTGTTCTGAGAGAGAAAGTAGCTCGCGTAAAGGGCTCAAACACACGGGAGGCGACACCGCATCGCCTCCATTTCATTTCAATGACCGTGCGCGACATAGCGTCAATCGCATCGAGCCCTCCTGCACAGCGACGCGAAAACGGTGCGTGAAATCCTCCCGCTCAGTGCATGTATCGTGCCACGCGCAGTCACGTCGCGTATCCCAGAAAGTTGAAATCTGCTCAACTTTTTTGACGCTGTCGTCAGCCGCAATCGCGCCCCGTCAGTCATGTTATCTGAGCGACAGCGTTGAGTTTTGCTGACGCTCTCGTTTTGTCGCTCTCCTGTGTCGAAGCCCATAAGGGACCGCTTGGGTTTCCCAGTGTGTGCGTGATCGAGTATTCAAAAGAACGCGTTCATGGAACCGCTCATTGTTTTGTGAACGATGAACTGAACGCAACACATTTTTAAAAAAAGAACTAGAACGTGAATTAGTTCATTTTATGTGTCATAACGACAGACAACCCGTACGTTGGAATCTGTTTCTCTTTTAAACGCAACGAGAGAAAGTTCCTCCTCCGTATTCTCGCACTTTTTCCGCCGAAATCAAAAAATGCCTACTGTTTCCACGTCTGTGAATGCAACCCGACTCCGTGTTGGCTGTGCGCGCTGTGAGCAGGGTGCTTTTCACATGTGCCCGAGTCGTGATGGAAAACACAAGTGAGTTAGCGACAAAGTTTACACGTTTACATTTGACATAAAGTATAGACACACCACTGCACGCATTACTGCTGTAGTTTTTTGAGCAGAGATGGAGCAACTCCGTAATGCTCCCAATGAAAACCATGTAAATCTGGGTTCTGTTTTGTAGTCAAAAGGCTCTCCACCTTGGGTGTACAGGAAAATATAATTAATATAATATATATATAATATAATAGCTTGTAGTGTGAAAAAAAGTATTTATTTGACTATTTCACGAAAAAGTAAAAATGAACTGAACTTTAACTAAATTCAAATTAAAATTGTGAACTTTGAACGTAACTTTGACATTGAGCATGTTTGAAATTGAAACTTGAACTAGTTCAAAAAGTGATGAACTGGCACAACACTGTGGGTTTCCCAGCAACTCCTTGAGATCGCCTCACTGGGTTGGGTGTGGGGATTATAACATTCTCTTTAAAGACTCCGCAGGCGGAGTCCCCCGCAAGTGTACCACAACTGTGGCTGCGAATGTCCAGCGCGACCTGCAAACCCGTAACCAGCGCCGTTTGGGTGTTACTCTAGTCCCTAGGCTTTTAGTCCATAAGCGTTCAACTTTTTGGGACTAGGATGTAAAGCGTTTTTCCCAAGCAAAAAAGGCGCCACTAATAAAATTATGCCTCACGGACCCTTAAGAGCCGCACCCGCCCTCACTATGCCTGACATGTTACTTTAACCGGTGAGAATAACTAGACCGGTGAGCTCTGCCAACCTGGATCATGGGCTGTCTGAACGGTAAAACGATGGGAAGGTGGGACTTGAAATGAAAACACTAACAAAGTCTAATTTGAAATGGCTTAGTCTGGCTGGACTATGTTATAAGTTAAAAGAAGTATTCGAAAAGACCATGATTGAATGACTTTTGACATATTAGGGCCATTTAATGATGGACTTGACACTAAAGTACTTACATATAGCTTCTTTACGTAGGACCCATTTCCGTATTTGTCGTCTTCACTCACGCTTTTCGGGAATCACGGCAGCTGCGTGAAAAATATAACATTCTTAACGGCCACAAGGTAGGCAGGTTTAAGTCCGCTTTAGCTCTGCCACACTTAGAGCTAAAAGCTCAAGTATAGGATACTGCGTGCAAACCTGTCTAGCCCAGAGATGTTGGCCGAATGGTTTAGCATAAAGAACTGGGACCTGGTGGAACCCAGGTTCGATCTTGTCTGAGGCAATTTTGGTTGCACATCTTTTGGTTGCTTGTGTGCAATTACGTAACGATATCAGATTGTTATCTTCTTTCCTTGTCAAAAGGAAATGTGTAAAATTGGCTGTGTGTTCAAGCCGTGCATGTGAATGTATATGTGTTGCTTTTGAATGCTTTTTCAAAGTAAGAGCATAACAGACAACATATACATATTTTGTACTAATGTTAATCTTTATAATTAAATTGCATTAACGTATATATGTGATGCAATCTGGGAAAACCCGTCGGATGTCACGCTGGCACGTTCCGAGTAAACAGTAAAAATAGGTCGATTGTCATACGCAGACAGAACCCAGACAGGCGGAGACACGCGAGACACGCGGATCATAGACACTTGGACAGAACCAGAGACATACGAAGCTAGACACTCGAGTCGGACAGGTCCATTTGTTTTATTTGTCAGATTTTTTTCGTTTCTCCTTGCATTTCAATTGACTGATCATTTAGACTGCGTGAACAAATAATACTGGCAATGTCTAATACTGCCCATCACTGCATATTAGTAACTCCGCCTGTTTTTTTCGTTTTTCAATTGTTCAAAGCTCTGAAAAAACTCAGGGGTTCTAATAAATCAGGCTAGGACAAATCAAGCATCATGCGGGAATAATCAATACTTTCACCTGCCGTGTCTCGCATTGCGCACACCGGAGAGAGCGAGAGAGTGTGTGTGTCTGTGGGGGGAGGGGGGAATATGGCCCATACTGTACCTGTGTATATATCACGTGGACTATAGACCACTGGCTGGGGGGGCACAAGCATCTTGGGGGAGACGGGCACGGCCCCCTATGGCCCTCTGTCAAGCTGCAGTCCTGGTTAGAGGCGGCGCGGAAGTACAGAGCCACGCACATTAAGCGTCTCTCTAGAACGCTGCCAAATTACAACCCCGAGGAGGCGATTGGACAGTTCAGAGTTGTAATTTTTTAATTACCTATGTGTGAGCATAAAGCTGTGTGTGTGTTTTAATAAAGCTTTCTTTGTATGAACATATTCCTGGAAAATGTTCATTTCCTCTATACATAATAATATGAATAAATATATATTTATATAAATATTATTACATTAATTATGAGGCAGGGTGACCAATAGTGACAGATCTGCCAGCCAATCACGAGAGATTATACTTATTTGAAAGTAGTGATTTCATCCAATGGGGAGTAAGCTTCATACAATGGGCAGTAAGCTACCAATGGGGAGTAATCCCACGTGGGCTGGCCACGTGTGATTTTTCAGCCAATCACAAGTTTGAAAGTAGTGGTATCCGCCAATGCTGCTGCATTCATATGCTAATTAGGGCCATTAGCGCTCGGCCGGCCGCAGTGTTTCGCTGCATTCATATGCAAAGTAGGTACCAGCCGCGGCGGCAGGGATAGGCCTGGGTAGGCCGGTGCCTACCAGTTTTTTTCTTGGCCTACTCAAATTTG